ATCAAAACATCCATGTCCTCGTGGATATCTGTAAAACCTTTTCAAGGAGTACTGGTACCAAGAAGCCCAGACTTGTAAAGACTACAATATACCTAACTCTTCCATGCCCAGACACTGACAAACATCTAGTAGCATAAACACCATCCGGGAAATCATGACCCCAACAAATGAACAAAATAAGGCACCAGGGACCAATCCTGGAGAAACAGAGATATGTGACCTTTCAGATGAGAATTCAAAGTAGCTGTGTTGAGGAAACACAAAGAAATTCACGATAATGCAGAGAAGGAATTCAGAATTCTATCAGAAAAATTTAAGAAACAGATTCAAATAATTTTTAAAAAGCAGAAATTCTGAAGCTGAAAAATGCAATTGGCATGCTAAAAATGCATTAGAGTCCTTTAATAGCAGAATTGATCAAGCAGAAGAAAGAATTAGTGAGCTTGAAGACAGGCCATTTAAAAATGTACAGAGGAGAGAAAAGTAAAAAAAAAATAAAAACAATGAAGTACACCAACAGGATCTGGAAAACAACTTCAAAAGGACAAATCTAAGAGTTATTGACTTAAAAAGGAATAGAGAAAGAGATGGGGTAGATAGTTTATTCAAAAGGAAAATAACAGAGAACATCTCAAACCTAGGGGAAAATATCAATATATAATTAGAAGAAGGTTATAGAACACCAAGCAGTTTTAAACCAAACAAGACTACCTCAAAGCACTGAATAATCACATTCCCAAAGGTCAAGGATTAAAACAAAAGATCCTTAAAAGCAGCAAGCAAAAAGAAACAAATAACATACAATGGAGATCCAATAGGTGGGGTAACAGACTTTTCAGAGGAAACCTTAGAACCAGGACAGAGTAGCACGACATATTTGAAGTGCTGAAGAAAAAAAAGTTTTACCCCGGAATAGTGTGTCCAGTAAAAATATCCTTCAAACATGAAGGAGAAATAAAAACTTTTCCAGAAAACAAAAGCTGAGTTGATAATGGCAACTTTTAAAGTATTAATGTTTTCACAGTCATTAGGGAAACATTTATGATTCTGAAAACTGGTAATTTATTTATTCTCCTTCTTCTATGTAAATTGTATCTGTCTTGTACACTCAGAATTGCCTTAATTAAGGAAGTAAAGCTTTGAATTTTTAGAGAGAAAAAAAGGGAGGGAGGAAGGGAGGAAAGAAAAGAGGGAGAGAAGACAAGGCAAAGGAAATGAAAAGACAGCTAAGCAGGGAAGAACGAGTGAAACAAGACTCCACCACTATCTAGAAAAACTGATGACAGCATTGCTAAATTTTTTCATTCTGATACTTCATAAAGTCAGAGATAAAGAAAATATTCTACATATTTCCAGGTAAACAATAGAATGGGAATCAGAATAACATGCAATTTCTCCAAAGCAACAGATCATGCTAGAATATAAAGGAAACATAACTTCAGAGTTCAGAAGAAAAAATATTTATAACTCAGAATTTTAAAGAAATCAAATTATTATCATATGTGGAAAACAATTGCCAAAGAACAGTCATCAAAAAGAGGGAATGAACAATTAAGAGAAAGATGGAGAGCTTGAATACTGAGTTATTTAACACAAGAAATCAAAAAATAAAAGTCTCAGTAGGACAGCTGACCATTGGGTCTAGAGAGCAAATTATCCAGACTGGAGCAGGAGGGTGGAGGCTACCAGAAAAGAAGTCCCCAGGGTAAAAAAAGAACTCATGATTATTTAATATGGTTGATCAATTTAATGGATACATAATGGATGTGAATGAGCAAATAGGAATATAAAGTTTTTATTAACTTTAAAAAAATTGACAGGTATAAAGAAAATGAAATGTAAGCATGGTAAACTAGTTCTTCTATTTGCATGTCTCTCATAAAAAGTGGTTATTGAACTATAAAAGATTTTGTTGGGGCCGGGCACAGTGGCTCACGCCTGTAATGGCACTTTGGGAGGCTGAGGCAGGCAGATCACGAGGTCAGGAGATCAAGACCAGCTTGGTCAACATGGTGAAACTCCCATCTCTAGAAACAAACACAAAAAATTAGCTGGGCACAGTGGTGCGTGCCTATAGTCCCAGCTACTCAGGAGACTGAGGCAGAAGAATCGTTTGAACCTGGGAGGCAGAGGTTGCAATGAGCTGATATCAGGCCACTGCACTCCAACCTGGCCAACAGAGTGACATTCCATCTCAAAAAAAAAAAAAAAAATTATGTTATATCATCAAGGCTAAAGGGAATGGGAGGTGTTTAATAAATAACTTAATATTCATTTACCATAATGGGAAACTGATTAATATGACTAAAACTGATACTAAGAAATATAAGGATAAATTTTCAGAGAAATCATTTTAAAAATTAGAAGGTTGTTGTGGATGAAACACCTAAGTCATGGTGGGCAAGAAACTGTAGTTTTTGGAATTCACCTTTTAGTACTATTTTTAAATCGTATTATAAATATATATTAGAAAACAAATATAAAGGAGCAAAAACACAGAGACGAGTTTGAAGCTATTGATATTGTTCAGGTGAGAGATGAAATTATGTACAGGTGGTGTAAGTGGAGAGATTTGCACATTTAAGATACACTTCAGAGACTAAGTTGACAGATATCATGAAAGCTTGGTTGTGATAGGAGAGAGAGTTGCATGGGGTTCTCTTAATTTCTGCCTTGCCCGACTGGTTAGAGGATGCGACCATCATAATGGAGAAGACCAGGGGAGGACCACATTTAGTGGGAAATTCAAGCCTTGTGCTTTCATCATGTTGAATTTGAGATGTCTTTGCAACATTCAAGTAATTATGTGAAGTAGGCAGTTGCACATATGAGTCTGGAGAGTAGGACGGATATCAGAGCTGGAAATATACATTCTGAGCCATCTTCATATTGATGAAATTAAAAGCCAAAAAAAGATGAGGTCACATAGAAAGAAAGAATAGAGTGAATAGATATTTTATATATAAATGTTGTATAACCCTAACAATAGACATTAGGTAGAAGCAGAAGAGTCTTCCCCAATTATAGCTTATAGCTTTTTAGTTTGGTTGCCTTTAAAATGCCCATCTTCCCTCCTGAGACAGAAGTGTAGGAACTAGAACAGTCTTGTTTTTGTTGTACAAACGGGCTAGAAATAGACCTTTCTGTATATGCATGTACATGCGAACGTATGAACGTAAACGTACAAAAAGGAGGAATAAGGAATCACTAAGAGAAGAGTTTGTCAATAAATGCATCCGGGACTACTGGTTAGCCATAAATCAAATTTTAATTCTCACTTTATAACGTTATAAAATAAATCCCAGTGGGATACTGTATATTAAAAATCAAACTATGAAAAATGAAGGAAATACAAATTTTGTCTATAAATATATATCTAAATGACAGGGAGATATAAATTTTAACACAAGTGGAGGGAGATAGTTTCTCAGTTGACCCAGGGCTACTAAACAATCCTTTATTTCCTTGTTGCTTGTGATGTTCTTCTTATTTTATATGGGAGTTTACTTTTGAACAATCTGATTTGTTCTTTTGGTTTGTTTAATTCTTGATTTAAAACCAAACTGTTGTCATTATTGGAATTTTATCATATATTTTAATATATAACACACAAAGTCTATTTTTTTATTTTCTAGAAAAATCCAGAATAGGAAAAAATTTTAAATTCATTTTGCCAGGTTCCCAAATAAGTTCTCCTAAGTGTTTATTTGAATTGAATTAGTTTGTAAATAATTTTTAGAGAAATGGCCAAATAAAGTTATACCTTTAATATGCCATATATGAAATAAATTCCAGGAAGAATCGAGTCAAGTTGCAAAAATTTAGAATATCAAAAAAGGAAGGAGGAGGAAAATGGGGAGGAGAAAAATGAGGAGAAGGAGAAGAAGAGAAATAAGAAAAGGAGAAAAAGAGATACTGGTTAATAGTAGACTTTGGATTAAAAAAGAAATTGTGGATGAAATACATGAAAGAGATCATAGAAAAAATAAGTAAATATGAGTGTATTAAATTAAAATGTTTATAAATATCAGAAACAAATACTAACACTATCAACCCACAGAGGAATTATTTGCAACAAATAGTTGTGATGACTTTTCTCTGAAAACAATGATATAAATAAGAAATAAAAAAGACAAAGCAAAAATGACAATTCATAAAAGTAAAAATGGCCAATAAACACATAAAATATTGGTACAGTTTACCATTACTCAAAAATAAAACAATGTCATTATCAATATGTTTTAAAATGTTTGATGAGTGTTTAATATGTAACCTGCAGTTTTATAATACGTAGCAAAAAACATAGTTGATGCCTTCAAGAATGAAAAGGACCTTAATTATGTTTCTGGTTAAAGCAGACCTTAATCTACTCTGTCCAATTTGTTATAAGTCGCTGTTAATTATTCTGCAAAACAGAATATTTTGTGAGTGAGCCTCTGTGTGTGTGTGTATGTGTGTGTCTGTGTCTGTGTATGCCTGTGTATGTGTGTGTGTTCCTTTTCATTCTATTTTTTTCATTCTTGGAATCTTATCTAAATAAAACTTCATTACCTTAGATATAAATTACTGCAGTTAGTTTGCTTCTAGTCTTTTCCACTCTAAAGTAATACATATGTGTCTGTCAGGTCAGTTTTCTGAAATAAAACTACCATTTCACTTTTCTGCCAGGAAATTTTAAATGTTTCAAACACTCTACGTATGATTGGATATAATGTCTTCCATTAACTAGGAAACATTAATCAGAAAAGACTCTTCTACATATTTAAACATTTGACTTTCATGCTATGTTGATTAATTGAGGTTTAGGATAATACTCTCTGACAATTCCATGAGAGTCGTGAAAGGTAGTAATAACAGTTACCAGTGAGTTTCCCCTGATTCATTCTGGTTGTGGAATTTGGATAAAGATTTTTCAAACAATTTTGAAATTCCATTGATATATTTTTTAAACAAACATAGCCTAATGATTTAGAGGCTTACATTTTGTGTAAAATAACATATTAATTTTTCTGTGTTCCCTGTTTATGAAAGCATTTTAATACATTTAAAAATCAATTTGCTATAGAACAAGTTTGTTCAAGAATGTTATAATTCCTCATCATTTTTTTAAGAACATTTATCACCTCCTTATTTCTCAGACTATAAATAAAAGGGTTTAGTAATGGGATTACTATTGTATAGAATATTGCCACCGGTATATCTTTATCTGCTTCTTCAAATGGTCGAATATACATGAGAAGACAAATGTAAAATATTGAGACAGAGAGAAAGTGGGATGCACAGGTAGAAAATGCTTTACCTCTTCCCTCCTTGGATTTCATTTTGAAAATAGTCAAAAGGATGCATAGATAAGAGATCAAGACAGTAGCAATGGTAAAGATTTGAATTGGTATTGAAAAAATATATAGCATTAGTTCATTAATAGAAGGATCAGTACAGGAGAGTCTATACAGTGGAAGAATATCACAAAAAAAGTGGTCAATTTTATTAGACCTGCAGAAAGTTAACCTTATCAGAAGCCCTCCATGAATCATGGAATGCAGGTTTCCAGCTATGAAGGCCCCTGCAGTCATCTGAATGCAGAGTGTCTTGGACATCATGATGTGGTACTGCAGTGGGTGGCATATGGCCACATAGCGGTCATAGGCCATTGCCGCCAGAAGAAAGCAGTCTGTGGTTTCAGCAAGACAGAGAAAATAAAATTGTGCCATACATTCATACAGGGAAATAATTCTATCCTCAGAAAAGAAATTCTCTAACATCTTGGGGGTAACAGCACAGGAACAGCAGGAATCCATCAGAGCCAGGTTGCCCAAAAAGATGTACATTGGTGTGTGAAGATGGCGCTCTACATAAATTAATGCCACCAGACCAAGATTCCCCACCATGGTAACCAGATAGATGGCAGAGAACACCACAAACAGAAGCATCTTCAGCTCTGAATAATTGGTAAATCCTATGAGGATAAACTCAGCTGCTAAGGAGTGATTTTCCTTAGCCATTCCTGGCTTCTCTGCAGAGACATAAATTGTAAAGAAATTTAACTGAGATTCTAAAGCAGAATGTTTCCAATTTTCTCCCTATAACTTCCCTGTATACAAAAGGGAAGAAAGTCTTCTTCAAATCATCCTGTGCCATCTCCTGAACACTAGCACACTCACTGTAGGTCACATCAAGTGAGAAAAAAATATCATGGATTGTGCACACAGGGCTTGTCTGAAAATATCTGTGTGAATTCCTAGGGCAGGAAAGCTTTATCTGCATGAATTTTCCTATGGTGATGTAAAATTTATGGTCAGTACATATAATTTTCCATTTCCAAAATTAAAAAGACATTTTCTTATGGTATCTTTTCCTCCAGGAAAAAAATAAACAAGTTTTAAATCATATCCTATTGGATCAATGTGATGCTTAAAATGAATTACTCTTTAGGCATTTTAAATGTTTACATTTTAAAAACTGCACACAAACACAGTGAGTTTGAAGAATGCTTTTGCTAGCTTAGTAACCCTTTCCAGATAAGGTCACCAATGCATATTTTTAGAAATATCAGGCTGGGCGCAGTGGCTTATGCCTGTAATCCCAGCACTTGTGGAGGCTGAGGCAGGCAGACCACGAGGTCAGGAGTTCGGGACAAGCCTGACCAACATGGTGAAATCCCATCTCTATTAAAAATACAAAAATTAGCTGGGTGTGGTGGTGCCCACCTGTAATCTCAGCTACTCACAAGGCTGATGCAGGAGAATCACTTGAACCTTGCATTCAAGGTGGAGCTTGCAGTGAGTTGAGATCTTGCCACTGCACTCCAGCCTGGGCAACAGAGCAAGACTCTGTCTCAAGGAAAAAAAAAAAAAAGAAATATCTACTCATCCTTTTAGAGAGGATAATAATATGAAACATCTATAGGTGTTCTTAATAATTGTATTGGGTAACATGTTATGTTCATTTCAACATATTCTAGATACTATTCCAATCTTGGTATGACAAATTTCTCAAGAGGCTATTACTCTTAATCACACACTTATCCTAATACTGTATCTAGTTTTAAGAGTTTTACGTGCATGTCTAACATTGTAAGATTTGGTTGCAAAGCCTCCACACACAGTGTGAATATTCTTCATGGTAAATATCTATTTTGTCTTCACTCAAACATCTCTCATAGAAACTAATGTCTTCATTTTCGGTGAGCTCCATGGAGGCTCTCCATTTATTTACTTAAGCTTTAAATTTATTTAAATTTACAAACTCATTATCTACTCTTAAGTGGCTATATATTTATTTGAGTTTATTAATCACCTGAATTTATTATATAGTTATTATAATTTGGCAACTATAACATTAAAATATTTCAGTTGCAGAAAAAATATGAGTTTTAAGGAATAATAAAGTTAACTCTCTTTTCTTCTAGAAGTTTCTAAAGGTCTTTAGCCACAGCATACTCCAAGTAGACAATTTTGGAGAAAAGCCTACAATAGTTAATTCAAAGTGCATTTTTTTTTTTGAGACAAAGTTTCACTCTTGTTGCCCAGGCTGGAGTGCAGTGGTGCAATCTCAGCTCACTGCAACCTCCACCTCCCGGGTTCAAGCAATTCTTCTGCCTCAGGCTCCTGAGTAGTTGGGATTACAGGCGTGAGCCACCATGCCCGGTTAATTTTGTATTTTTAGTAGAGACGGGGTTTCACCATGTTTGTCAGGCTGGTCTTGAACTCCTGACCTCAGGTGATCCGCTTTTCTCGGCCTCCCAAAGTGTTGGGATTCCAGGCATGAGCCACTGCGCCTGGCCAATGCATTGTTTTAGAAACATATTTTGGTTAGGTTTTCTCTGTTTCTTTCTTTTGTTTACACCAAATTTAAAACTCTGGTTTTCTATTCACTCACATAATATAATGATGTTTTCTGGAGTTTCATCACTAGAGGCTTGTAATCAAAAGAATACAATAAAATGTCCTTTATATTTTAGGTCTATAACTCTTTTTAAAAATCCCTCAGAATTATATTTTGAAAAAAACTTTGTAAAAATATAAAATACTGCTCTTTATAATTATTTTAGTAATACCTAATGGACAATCAACAGAAAATATTTATCATGTGCACTATGGAAAAATGGATTTTATTGTCAATAATTATTATTTTATGTAGATGATATATCAGAATATAATGAGTAAAAACTCATTTTCTCTTCTCCAATGTAAAATATAATTCTCAACTGAATAAAATATTAATTCTACTCTACATCCCAGAATTATTGTATAGGTCATTGTCAGCCTTATCTGTATATTTGCTGATAAAATTATGGTACTTTGAACAAAGAACAGGTCTGATTTATCCACTTACTGTGCGTCCTTATGGCTTTCTATAATGTCTTCACTTTAGAGACAAAGAAAGTTATTAAGTGGCTAAAATTTAAAAACAATGAAAATACTGAATATACATTTTTAGAAAATGTATATTCTGCATTTTAATACTATAATATAAGTAAGTTAGAAATCAGTCCTCGTATTTTGAGTTCACTGAGAAACATTTTATAGTAGCTGACTGGTCACCTGATGTTTTTTCTTTGTAGGGAAATTAAGAATAAAAATATTGGATTTTAAATCATTAGGGAATAAATTATAAAAATCTGGGACACTCCTACCAATAGGTCAGTGACAATAATTATGTGTCAGGCAAAGTTAAAGTTTTCTATTGTAAAGGGAATTCCTTGGCATCAGAGTGTTTCTGCAGATACTCTAATCTGATGGGCATGGTTCCCCCAGAACCAGTAAATCAAACAGCATGTAAAGATGGATGCATTTTGAGATTCGGAAGTTAAATCAAAATGGCTATCACTAAACACAGCTTAAGGTTCCTCTTGATTTTTCACATACTCGGAATCTCTCTCTTTCCCTTACACACACACACACACACACACACACACACACACACACACACCCCTACCTTGATTACCTGAAAACTATGATAGAGAGAAAAAGATTTACATTGATCACTTGGGGTAGAAGTTAGAGATTTGAAGAGAAATTTGTATTTGCAGACAAGAGGCAAAATGTGGCAGGATCGTCCAGGGTTGTGTTCCTTTCTTTTGCTCCCAAAATTAATCTGGCCAAATCTTGTATATTCATCCTCTGAAATAAGTCTGACATTATGTTCTTTAGTTTCGCTTATATGTCATGAGGTAACTTTAAAAAACTTAATTGAGGTATGAATAATGTACAAAAAGCTCTACACATATAATGTATACAACTAGATAAATTGGGACATAAGTATAGATCCACGAAACTATTACCAGACTCAATGCCGTCATCATAAGAACTTACTTGTTAATTGGCCTCCTAGCCCCATCTTTTCTCCAGTGTGTAGATATGCTCTTATGCATTAGAAATGTTTTTGGCTCCTCATTAGTCTTCAAACCAACTTTTTGTCCTTTATCTTGGTATTCCAAGGGCTCCATACATAGGGCTTATATCACTTAAGACTTTATTTTCTACCATTTACCTTTAAAAATCCATCTCCAGCCGGGCGCGGTGGCTCACGCCTGTAATCCCAGCACTTTGGGAGGCCGAGGCGGGCGGATCACAAGGTCAGGAGATCGAGACCACGGTGAAACCCCGTCTCTACTAAAAATACAAAAAATTAGCCGGGCGCGGTTGTGGGCGCCTGTAGTCCCAGCTACTCGGGAGGCTGAGGCAGGAGAATGGCGTGAACCCGGGAGGCGGAGCTTGCAGTGAGCCGAGATCGCGCCACTGCACTCCAGCCTGGGAGACAGAGCGAGACTCCGTCTCAAAAAAAAAAAAAAAAAATCCATCTCCAGAGACGTGCCCATCACTTATCTATTCCTTGATGCGCTAGAGTTTAACCTTGACCTCAGAATATTTACTCAGAATCTACTCTTCACATGAAATGCCCTCTTTGATTTATTCTTCTATCCAAATCCTACTCAATTTTTATGAGCTCTGATTCCCATTATGAAGGCATCCTCAACTTTCTGATCTGCAAGATAATGACTGTTTGCGTGATGCAAAGAGCTCTTAATTGTGCTTCACTCCTATGCTCATTCAGCTGTTTTTTCATGTGCAACTTTTGTTTATTCTCAGATAGATTAATTTTTTTTTTTTTTGGAGACAGAGTGTCGCTCTGTCACCCAGGCTGGAGTGCAGTGGCCGGATCTCAGCTCACTGCAAGCTCCGCCTCCACCTCGCCCAGCTAATTTTTTGTATTTTTAGTAGAGACGGGGTTTCACCGTGTTAGCCAGGATGGTCTGGATCTCCTGACCTCATGATCCGCCCACCTCAGCCTCCTAAAGTGCTGGGATTACAGGCGTGAGCCAAGATTAATTTTCTTTTAGGTTTTCCACACTGCAAACCCCTCATAGTTCCAGATAATGTAGGCCCTAGGTGAATGCTTATTGAATTGCTTGCAGAAATTTCAAGTAAATTAACTTCAACATTATAGAGTGACTACAATAGAGAAGTCATGGAGTCAGACATTGGGCAGGAGGGGTATGTGGTAGGAGTGAGGTTGGGCAGAAACCTGAATAGATAAATAAGAAATAATCCTGCCCTCAGGGAGCTCCCAATCTAGAGGGTAAAATCACTTATACAACGATATAATAAAGAAACTCAGGCTGAGTTAAGTATTACAAACTTAACTACAAACAAGGTATATGGGAATACAAAGAAGGACTTAGAGAACTAAGGGACGCCCTTATATAAAAATGATATTTCTCATGATTCCTGAAGGATAAATTAAATTTCAATAGGCAAGAAGAATGTGTGGCAAAGAATTACAGGTTGAAGGAGCAGCATGATTAAAAGCAAAAGCATGGAAACTTGAAAGCACAAAGCATATTTAGTGAATGGAGAGTGAACCAGAGTAGCCAGAGTCTGGGCTCATGACAGGAAGGAGTTGGAGGTTCTCATCGCCACTCCCTCACTAGGATCACTACTCAACTCCTAATTACCACACCTAAAGCATTTTTAAAATTATTATCTTAATTAATTAATTT